AGGGATAGTATGGACTTTTGTTATGGTAATGGCATGATGGGTTTTTAGTAATGTTGGGAAGTTGTTTTAGTACTTTTGCAAGGTCGCACTTTGACCAAGCCTTTGCTTGACACCATGCACTACACTTGGCAGCTCTTTCTCATGCAAAGGACACCTATACACTAAGTGGCAACATTCCACTAACCCCTACAGACCCATTTTCGGCAGCTAGTCTCAGTTTCTTCTTCCCTCTTTTTTTTCTTTCTTTCTTCTCATTTCCTATTCCATTGAAGCTCTCTTTGGAGCTTGGTTTTGAAGGCCTTCTTGTGGAATTTTGGAGCAAACCTTGGAAGAGAAAATGACCATAAAGGAAAGAGTTTTCCATTAATACAAGAATTAAATCCATTCCTTCACCACTGTTTTTCAAAACTTGTCTTGAAAGAAGGAGCTTTGGTTGTACTACAAAGGCGTATTTTTGTTCTTCATCTTTTCTCAATTGTTGGTGATTTTAGACAATCAATCAGTGGCTTTTGGCTGGGTTTAAGCTCTTGTAGAGGTAGGAGTTGTTCTAACCCTCACAACCTTTGTTTCTAGTGAATTAATCTCTCTAAATTGAACCTCCTTTCAAGCATGTTAAGTGTAATACTCCTAAATTTTAAAAGGATATTTCTGGAATTAAATTTATTATTTGATTGCATTTTACTTGATTATATGTCATTTTATTGGATTATTTGTTTAATTTAAATTATATTGTGGTGCTTTAAGTGATTATTATTTAATTTGAATTATTTGTTTATTTGAATTATTTCTATTATGTGAATTATTTGTATTATTACATCTGTTATATTATTTATTTGTGATTTTTGATTTAATGGTGATTTATTTTGTCTATTGTAACATAGGGATATCAGTTATAACTTTGGCTTATAATTCACGTATAGGTGAGCCGCCATAAGTTAGAACTTAGATAGTTTCATGGGCCGATTAGAAGGGGAATTAGGGCTGGTCTCTAAATTAAACATGGACTAGGGTTGCTGGGATAAACCTATAAATATGTGCATTACTGTGGTTTAGGGTTTGGAGACAGAAAAACAAGAACAATATAACAACGTTCTGTAAAATAGAGAGATAGAGAGATACAAAAATACAGAGAAAGGAACACAGAGTGGAGTTGAGTGTTTTACAGAGCAGCTCAAGGAGGAAGGAGCATGGTCGTGTGGAACTACAGTCTAGGATATTAACAGAACCTTCAGAGACGGTGAATTAGAGTTTCAAATCTGAAACTCAAAGGTAAGTCTTTGTTCTTCTCTTTCCCAGGAATTTGTGTTCTGTGCATGCTTAATTAGACTCTAGGAATTAAACTAAGTCTTAATTACATTGCTTATACATGTTAAATCAGTTTTTAGCATCATTGAATTAAATCTGTTGCTCTGTTGTTACAAGTTTAGGTTGTATATGGTGGTTGTTTGCTTTAAACATTGATGAGTAATTAAATTTTTGATTGTATAACTCTGTCTTGTGATCAATCTGGGATGAGGATGGGACTTTAAAACCTGTAATAAAACCAATTTCAAAGACTGATAACCACCGGAGTCGGAGAAGACACACGTAGAACAGTTACGGCTTTTCTTGAGATGGAGAAGGCTCTCTTGAGATGGAGAAGGTTCTCCTTGAAGTGGAGAAGGCTCTTTTGTTTTCAGAGCCTTCTCTTTCTCTTGTTTGAAGCGTAAAACTGATGTTTGAGGTCTATTTGGCTAAACTGGATTTTTCAAAGGCTATCTATGTGCTACTGTATGATGTAATTCACTGCTTAAGACTTATAAAAATGTTGGGAAGCAAGCTCACATTCAGATATTGGAGATAGAATTAATCTAAGTTTAAACAGAGAATACCTAGGTGGATGAGTAGAGAATTAACTTCTGTTGCTTACTGTTTTTTTTTTTTAATTTTGATTTCTCTGAAAGATCTTAAATTGCAAATTATGTTTCCAGTTGTGGTATAAGCATATAGTAGTATAAATATGTGTATGCTTGGATAGAATTAACTGATGGTTTAAATTTGTTATAGAATGCATCAGCTGAGGCACTGTTCGGAGGAGTTAAGTGTATGGTCTTACTTTGCCAATTTAATGGACTGTAATTAGGATTCTAAATCCTTTCTGGGATGCCTAATTTAGTTATACACATGTAAACTATACTTACGCTTATTTTGGAATATGGTTGATAGATAATTATACTATTTTCGTCAACTATGTTAACTGGAGGATAGTATGCACCGGTATGGGACGGTGGCATACTAGGTATGGATTAGTTCAGACACTAAGCCTACGTAAACTGGATTGAGGTTCGGATTAACAATAAAAGTTAAGTCCGACTTCTGTTAGTGTCAGGTCAGTAAATAACTGAATGACATAATTGGATTTCTGGGATGGATTGTTATACAGGTATCAAGCCACTATACCAGATGGATGATATTTTTTATTAGGAGGACAAGGACTTTGTATATTTATGTTATAGTGCCATGGTATGAGCTTGAGTCTCAAAATCATGGTTAGGGTGCATATATCGCCTAGGATGGATAGTTGGACAGTAGTGCTGTTCCCTGGTAGGTCTAAGTACACATGACCACGTAATGTGCGATTTGAATGGTATCTCTACTTAGGCTGAGACAGACCTATTGGACTAGTGAACGTCCTATAGTGTGTATTTTATGCATATATGGACTACTCTAGATATTGTTGAGTCTATTTAGAATGTATCTGCGTATCGGATTCTTGTTTGGATAGTAGTAGAATATTACTTGCATGTGGGTCTGACCCACTCTTTTATTTTCTAGGTGCTCGCCAGTTCTAGGGTTAGAGCTTGATCGTGCAGAGCAAATACAGACTTCCATTCCACCGACTACGTAGGACTGCTTCCTTACTAGTTTGGATTTTGATTACAGTTATTGTATTTTACAGTTGGGATTTTTATTAAGGGTCCTCTAGATGGATTCCTGAGTTGTTAAATAATTGGAGGTTTTGGATTAATGGATTTTAATGATTATACTTTGAGGATTTTTCAATTAGAGTTCTTTTCAGCCATTTTTATTTCCTTCTTATTATTTCATCTTGTATTCTGTGTTTGTTAAATATTAATTGTTTTGATATTCCCTCGGGTTTGGGCCTAGGCCTGATCAACCCGTGTCTCAGATCCGAGGGGTATCACATTAAGTGTGATTCAAAAACTGAAATTTCTAGCTTTTGTCATGGTGTGTAGCATGTACTAGAAATTGAATTTTTGTTTCTCTAATGTTGGTTATATCATATGTGTTAAAACTGAAAATTAGTACTCATAATAGTTGTAATGTTCTTGCAACAAAACTGAAAATTTCATGCCCAGTGTACCTCAAATTTTGGGACTGTTTTGTGTAATTAGAAATCTAAAATTTGAGCTTGTGTAATGATGGTGTATTATGTACTCAAAACTGAAATTATACATGTTTAAGAGTATATATGCAAGTGTATGAAAGTTCTTGAATTGCTATATGTTTACTATATTCAATTTGCCTTGTAAGTTATGTGGAGTTGATGACAAAGTGAACGAGTTTATTACATGAAAGCTACCTTGATAATTTTCTGCTAGAAACATGGTTTATTGGCTGAGTTTTTATGTAGAAATGCTGCAATATTACGACATTGAAAAACATGTAATCATTCATGCATTACATTAGGTATCAAATGGGGCAAAAGCTGAATTTTTGGAAGGAGTAAAATTTTATTTTTGGGCAAATGTTTTAAAAGATGTTTGCAAAAACCGGAAGGCAAGGAGTTACCTTGTGTCCGTGTCGTTAATAGGACCGAGAGGGGACGTAGGAAACTTGCCTTCAGCGTGGTTGAGTTACTAGATTCCAAATGACGCTAAGGAGTTACCTTAGGTCAAGGATAGTTAGCCAATCCTCCTCTCGTAGAGCCGGGGAGTTACCTTGGGCCGGGTTACATTAACGGTTTGACGATTGAAGCGTTAGATGAAATTTTGGTAATGGGGAGTGGCATTGACATTTCATTCGCATTGCATTTCATTTCATTTATAGAATTGCATTGTAAAATGATTGTATCTCTCGACAAACATGATCCTTTTTACTTATAGCTATTCTTTGTGTGGATTCACAGAAGTATTAAGGAGTGCGTTTTAGGCAACTACTACTGAGCCATTGTGCTCACTCCATCATTCTTATATTTTTTTTTCAGGACACGAAAAAGAGGTAGGCGAGGACCTCCCTCCACAAACCTAGATTGACTTGGACTAGCCTTTGTGACATCTTTTGTTTTGTGTCAATGTATATGTTGTAATTATGTAAAAGTCATGTGAATGTTAAACTTGTATTTTTAGTACACTTTGCTCTACGGCATGTAATTAATTGTCTCTAAGGACTTATGTTTTGGGATGTATACATTCGGGGAAAATTATAAATGTCCGTTTATAGCTTTTCAGTCTCATTATTCATGTACAATGTGATTACATGAAGGTAGGCTGTGAAATGTATGTTGAGACAGGTGTGGAAGACTCGGGATAGCCTAGTAGCCAATGGGATATGTTCGCCTTTCATGTTCATTGGTATGTTCGTATGCCGGAACTCAGGTTTGGGGTGTTACATAGTGGATCAGTTTAATTTGAACTGTCCGCGCAAACAGTTGACGTATTTTATCAACTGGGGTTTCCTCGCTAAAAATTCTGGTGTCATCTCTAACTTTTACTTGGCTTTATTTTATTTGCATGTGATTAATTGTTTAATTACTAAAATAAATGAAGTTAGATAAATACAAGATCGGTTTTCAAAATAATCAAAACTTTCTAAACACTCCGTACAACTCACACATTAGCCATCAGTCAGAATAGAATGCATAGAATGAGTTCAAAACTTATTTTAGTAACTGTATTACTGTGAACAGTCCGGCCAAACTACTTGTTTCACGAAACCATGTCAAACCTACAGACAGACAGACAGACAGACAGACAGAGAGAGAGAGAGAGAGATCTTACCTGTATAGCTTCAACGAGGTATCCAGATAGTACAGACACCCACATGGTCAAAACTGCAAGCCACCCAATTGCTTCCCACTGAGTAATCTCAGGAGCTTCTTCTTCCTCAGAATTTTCGGCAGGGTCTGTTTCCTGCAACGGATGCCAGTGGTTAATCATCACGACAATAAGGTACGTGCATGCACATCAGGCAAAAAGACCTCATGCGAAAACAACATTCCATCGATCCCTGAAAAAAGCAAAGAGACCTCACCTCGTCGATAGGATTATAAAGTTTCTTTTGACTCTTAAGCTGAAAGAATAGGTAGCTTGCATATGCCACCAGCATTATACAGCTGCTAAATCTTGAAAGAGATAGCTCTGATGTCCCAAAATGCACTTCAGTGTGTGTGAAGTGAAGTACAGCTGGAAATAATATACCCATAACACCCATCAACAACAATCCTGAGTTCACGACGGCAGCCGCCTGTCTTGAAACATGTCAACAGAATTAGTTTTTCATTTCTTTTTTCGTTTTTGGGGACGAAGGGAAGGGGGGATGCTGATGCTTAAGTAGGGCTGCAAAACCATTAGACTCAACTCGACCTCAAGACAGACCATAAAAACTCTATCGCGCTCAACATGGCAGCTACTTGCCAAACTTGAAGGCCATTCAGGCTTGGCCTTGCGTACAGGTAAGATTGCTCTTTAGGTGATATTTGCCGGCCACTTGTGTCTTGGTTGGTTTACTGTGAAAGTAGAGGTTACAAGTCAAAAAGTTATGTGGTTAAGATGAAAGGCTAATCATAATGTTACAGTGTCAGCCTGCAAATTCATAAGCCGAGGACCCTATTACTTTGTTGCTCGCAACTAATATTTTGACATAGTTTATTGGTTCCATGTTCTGCCTATCGATAAAAAAAAATGGTATTTTAGAGGTAAAAGGACAAATAGATAGAGTCAAATTTTAATTTTTCAAATTAATGGAGGTTTCCCAAAGCTAACCAAGACCCAAAAGCCTGTGCAGCATGGCAAGGTCCATCAAGGGAAATAGGCTCACCAGTTGGCGCACCAGAGGCAAAAAGCGTTGCATGCACTACTTTCAGCGATCCCATCACAACCACCTTTAGCTGGTATATTGACATCCAAGGTTGGGTCAACGGCCACCTGAGTCAATTTGCATATATCCAAGCATTCTGCCTGAATGATTGTGAGAATTGAAGTCATTGAACAACTCTTTTGTAACAATGGAAATCTCATTTTAAAAATAACATTTTCTTCCAAATCAAATAGATAAAACCGAGAGTTTGATTGCAGCTGTTTGGCTTATCAAAAGATGATTTCTCAACAGACCCTCAAGGAGTTGGTAACCAACGGACGACTGAGATGAGGAACTGAACTGGGTTTCACAGAAACAGTTTGGCGATGAACAGCGATTTCCCTACCGGTTGACGGTGACGTGGGCAACAGTGAGCAAGGATCAGATTGGCGGGTCACGGTGACCGGAACAGCCGACGACGAGTAAAATATAGTCGGCAGAGAGATTGGAACGGCCGTGAGTAAGGAATACCCCACTGGCGATGATGATATAAGGGCCTGAACCTCGGGCAAGAGAAGATTCCGGCGAAGACAAAGGACCGCAACCAAGTGGGCAGCGAGCAAGGAATGACTGGTGACCGAACCAGCAACTCCTATGCACATACGACGAGCAATGATGGCTTGAAAGAACGGGTAGTGGGCTTGGAACGGCCGGCGATGATGATGAGAGCAGGAAAAATTAAAAAATAAAAAATAAATCTGATCTTGAAACTGTGATGCCGGCGAAGAAGAGGCGTGGCACCGGCAACAATGGTGAAGCTTGTGGTGCCACGGTGAACTAGGTATGAACCGACGGTGAGAATGAATGGGCCGACAAGAAGCAATTTCTGAATACAGTGGTGAGCATAGAGGTCGTGAATCGGCGGCTGTGAGCTTAGAGGCCGTGAAGAGAAAGAGGGTTTGTTCCTGCGCATGCTTTTGGGTCTGGTTAGCTTGAAAGGGTAGTTGGTCAATTCGCAACAATATAAAAGATGGGCAGTTTGGGAATGAAAAAAATGATCTAAGTAAAATTTTATGTCCACATCAGCATTTGAGAAAACTCTATTAATTTGGAAAACTAAAATTTGACTCCATTTATTTGTCAATTCACCACCAAAATACTATTTTTTTGGAATTCTCCCTATACATATATATATATATATTTATATCAAAGTCATTAAAAAAAACTAAGCTATTGAACTCCACGGTCTCACCCGTTCAGGGGGGCCACGCGTCGCACGGGAGCCGAACTTGAGACTGTTCAGGCTCTGCCCGTCAACGAGCTTGAGAGAAGGGATCATGTACACCTCGTTTGTCAAATGAACAAGCCCTAGCAAGCCAATAAGTGAATTGAGTCTAAGTTGTTCATCAACAGCTGCAGCCATTTGCCGAACCAACTCAATGTTGATTCTATGGCTCATTATGTTGAGAATGTAAATTAACTCACCGCACATAGTATTTCAAGGAAAGATGTTTTGATCAGATTATGATGATATACCTTATTGAATTCCTGAACTTTCTGGCAATGAATGATCCCACCAGTAAAGAAAGCACATCCAAGCACTAATAGCATATTAGACAAGATGGAGCCAAGTAATGATTGTTGAACAACCCTAATCATTCCATTCTTCAACGCATATATTGAAATTATCATATCCGTTGCATTTCCAAATGTAGCATTTAGAAGGCCCCCAACTGCAGAGACAACCAGAAAACTGTCTAAACTGTCTTCTTAATTGATACAGATAAACAGGTTCAAGTGAATAGAAATATGAGAAGAATTTTTTCTCCATGGCAATCTAAGTTTCGTCATCACAAGCAGGCATGCAGAGACCAAAAAACCCACACTAAATATATATATATATAGAGAGGGTAGTGTCTATGCATGAGCTTGTGAATGTGTGTGTGTGTTTATATGGACAACATATATAGATATAATAAAGTGAAATAAGACCATTTATAAAAAAATAAAAAAATAATAATAAAAAAAACTACAGACAACGTAGCTATTGAGTGACATGGTCAAAATAGATTATAAAAATGTAACCAATTAATTTGATGTTAAGGGATCTTCTAACGATGATTAATATCTTTCCGCCTCCATTAATTGAAATACTTGAAATGTAAAGTTGACCATCAAATCATTGATAATTTATGAATGAATGATACTTGTTAATAAAAAATAAAAAACTTTTATGAACTAACAAATAGGCAACATAATGATCACTTTACCTGTCCAATTAATTATTAGGTATGATAATGACTTAGTGTAATAAGGGTTAATCTTAATAGAAAAAATATTGGGTATAAATATGGGTGGTTATGTAGTACTATCCAATATTGGGTAAATGAGCAAGCGTCTACCTGTCAGATTCAGTTTTTGATTCGATCCCTTTCCACTCGGGGTATGTAAGGTGGCCCAAGTTACAACGAGAACGTTGCAAGTTTGGGTGGATAGGCAACATTACACAATAACTTGAGCTTTTGGGTAAATGAGTAAGCTCTAGCCGCGTAAAGTAAAAAAGCGGGCAGCCTGAAAAATTATGGATTTGTCCCAAAAAAAATTCTAAAAAGGCTATTAATGGTAATAATTTATTGTTATTAGTGGTGATTTTGTATTGAAAAATTGAAAACTATGGACTCTATTTTCTCAAATCTTTTGGCTCCGTCATCGTAGCGAAGGAGTTGGCCGCACCGATACCGGTGGAGGTGGGTTGTTGTCCCCCTCAATTTTTCTAGAACTTCCCATTTATGGTACTATTTTATTGTTATTTAAGGCCATTAAAGGTGGTTTGAAAAAATAAAAGAGTAGTTGTCCCTTCAAATTCCAATGAACCTTTTTAATTTTAATTCTACAAAATCAAATCCAGTGAAAAAAAGTGTTACACTGTTCCTCTATATAACATATGAATACTCTATTTATATATATATACATCTATATTATTTGTTATGAATTAAGTAATCTATTTATATATATATACATCTATATTATTTGTTATGAATTAAAGAGGGAAGAAAAAGAGTTTTAGACACTTGATTAATATCCTTTTCAGTCAATTAACGGACTTAATTCCATAAGGTGAGCTAGGTATCTCGCCGAAGCGTATGAAAATAATTATGCAATTTAAAATGGCAAGCCCCCAAAATTCATCCCAATTTTCTAATCATAGTAGAAAAACATAAGATCTTCTCACCTTTGTTTCATCCTTGGCTTATGAGATTTCCGATATTGCATAAAAAGAGTGTAGTGCAAATAATGCTTATATTCAAGAGATTTCAATTTTTAGTAATACCTCTGTTCTTTATGCATTAAGCATGTACAGTTGTAAGCATACTTGAACTAATTTTTTATTTTATTTCCAAGGTAATTAAATGCAAATAATATGTTTTTACCATAGTTTCAAACATCTGTTTCTCACTAAATATCACACAGAAAATAATTAAATAAATAAATAAGTAAAGAGTAAATATACCTGTAGGTCCTGTATAAAATGCAAGCTGCCTGCAGCAGAGTGGCAGGTGAGCAAGTGTATTAGTATGTTGTAAAGAAATGGAAACTAAAAAACACCAATGGAATGCCACATTTTAATTTGAAATGCCGATACTTACTCAGTTGCATAACCCAGCCGCTCTCCTAAAGGTGTAATGCCCACTAAGCTGAAGAAGAAGACCCATCCCTACGATGTGAGAAGTAGCATTCAAATAATTACAATCCAAGAATAGAGGCATCATAATGAGGCATGAGAGTTAAGTGATACGATGTTTGAACATCAAACCAGTTGCCACATAATCATACATTATTTCAGGAGGTCATTAATACAGGTTCAAAGAAAATTCAATGGAAATTTCAAATGGGGAAATGATGACTGGGAGAGGAAGCATCTTACATGTTTTCCTGGAATATAGTGCAGCAATATCGCCAAGGGCCCAAAAGGTAGCAACATATTAATCTTGTCTTTAATTAAGACAATGTATATACTCCTGAGAGATCTGTTGTCCCTCATCTTCTTAAAGAGCCACGAGTTGGACATATTTTCCTGCAACCCAATATGAGATGTCTCAAAATCGACGGGATGCATTTTAATATTCGAGGTCTTTGATGAGCTAAGAGGGATCTCCTCATCAGAATCAAGGTCTAAATTCTCCTCTGTAGGTCCCATCTGCATGTACAGGCAATCTCACTGATCAGCGATAGTGGTAGTACAAAGCACACAAGTTCTACATAGAAGTTATTGGCACTGTCTAAATTTTAATCCCTCGCATCAAATCAGGAGCCTACATTAAAAAATAATGAGGACCTCAACCATGGATAATAGATACTCTAACAGGATATATTTATTAACATCAAATCACTGAATCAGTTGAGTACTTCATCGTAAAACTAAAGAGTATCATTACAACCAGATATGATAATTAGGACGTATTCAACTTATTGCTACCGCAAATAATTTTAACGATCCTAAAAGAATGGCACTTATTATTATTATTATTATTATTTTTGGGTGGATAAACAACTTTTATTCAGGCCATGAACCACTCGAAAGAATCTACTGAAGACGTAGGATATAAATATGAACCACATGAGTGTTCGGTCATCACTATACAAAATACTACCTACGGAACTGAAGACAAATAATAGCAGTACAAGAAATAATACTGAGTTCCTCTGTATAGGATGGGTTATAACACTATGTTGCTTAGGAAGGTTTCCTATGGTTGGCAAAAGCTACTACAGCTCTTCTAGAGCATCTCTAATACAAAATGTTGTATTTCCATATCAAATCTATATTTTGAGAGGAATTATAGTGTTAAAATGCCATATTTTTACCATTCTGCTCCAATGGTGCATTTCATCCAAAATGTTATTTTCTGACACAAGAACCATATCATGTTTTGAGAGTCCATTGAAGTGTCTTATTTTCATTTTAGCAACTTTTAACAATTTCAAAATATGAGAGGTCTTTTGAGAGCCCATTGGAGTGCATTATTTTCATCAACTTGTTATATTTCGAGTTTGAGAGGCCATTTAAGAGATGCTATATTTAACAATACTTTTGACAATCTCAAAATATGATAGGTCTTTTGAGAGGCCATTGGAGTGCCTTATTTTCATACACTTGCTATATTTTGAGTTTGAGAGGCCATTTGAAAGGGTATTGGAGATGCTCTAACAAGTGAAAAGAGGAAGACGCCAGTAAATGAGGAGTACCAAGCAAATAGACTTGCGTAACAAAATGAATTAAGCTCTGGAAGGAGTAAAGCAGAGGAAAGAATTACGACATTCTCAATCAAAATCTCAAGCAAAGATCAAGAAGAATTATTACTATCATACTATGATACTAAAAATATAAAAAGCCATATGAGAAAGGATCGATTGTCGAAGACTAAAAAGAAAACTGGGAGAGATGAAGAGGACGCGGAGACTTGCAAATGTGGTTGACAAGATCTACGAGAGTGAAAAAGATCTTCTTGTTGTCTCGCCAAGTACAATAATTAAGTTGGTTAGATACTGGTCGCACTTGTCACGTGTTCAAAACTTCAAATAAAAAGTGTTTTACATGTGTTCAAATAAAATGTATTTGATAAATATGAATCATGCAACAGAGATATTGTTCAAACGGGCAATGGTGCGACATGTGACGTCATTTGAATTAGTACAGTGAAGATCAGGATGTTTTATGATAATTTCACACTTCCCTGATTTGAGGAAGAGCATGATTTCGATAGAACCAATGGGCTCTCTTGAGCGAAGCTAATCAACAAAAAGTGGAACTATGAAGATTGACAAAGGGCCTTGATTATCATGAAAGGCCAAAAAATATGGAATGATTATGTACAAGCGAACGAATATATACGAGTGAATGAATGTGTACAAGCTGGTTGGGAATACAGTTCCAGGTGGTGCAACGGTAAGATCCCAATAGAATCTGGAACATATGATATGGTTCTGTGGCATATGAACTTGGATATATGAGACAAGACATGTTGGTCGGAACTTCACATGTGAAGATTGTTAAAATGTGCCAAATTATGTATACTAGATTACTGAAAGCACTGCGTGTATAGCGCTGAAGGGATAGATTCAAGACACAGTCTCACACCATCAAAGTACAATTTTTGTGCTTGGGGACCAACTCCAATATCTCCACAAGGTGAAGCAATTCATCACCTTATTGAGGATTTCTCGAGGAAGGCTGGATTTACTTCACGAAGCACAGGTATGAGCCCAATAAACAAATAATGGAAGGCCAAGATTAAGCAATGTACAAACAGGAAATTGGAGTACCTTACAGATAAAGGCGTGGAATAAAGGAAAACAGGGTTCAAGGAGTTCTAAAAGAAGGAAGGTATCACACGCCACTTGACAACTTGGAGAAGATATATATATCTCTGAGAAAATGGTCGCAAAGGACTAGGAAGAGTATGGTTTTGAAAATATGATCTCTTCTGCCTTGGTGGTGAGTGTGAAAAGTCATCATGTTTCCATAACAGAGAGACTGAAAAAGACAATGTGAAGACAATTCTGAAATGTATTATAGTTGGTTTTTGAGCGATTAAATGCCCTAAAAGGATCTTCTTGAGTGCAGAGAGGTTTTCCGTCGGAATCTTTTCCATCAGCATAATCCCCGATTGATCATGGATCATCCAGAAAGTTATGGAAAGGTCAAAGCAAATAACCAAAGATCAAGGAAGCACTGATAAGTGCTCAGCCAATCAAAGGAGGGATCGACCAATCAAGCTCTGCTGCACTGTCCTTTTATACTCCATATTGATTGATGAATTCCTTCAAAGTCGGTGCAAGATGTTGCTTTCATCCCAAATCTACTTTTTTTTGTTACAAACAGCTTCTGATGGTGAAAGAAAAATTAAAGAGAGCCTAAGAGAGTTGTGACAGTTTTTAATAGGGCAAAGAGCTGTGGGTAGAGTGAAATACTGGTTCTGTAACACCTTAATATGTTTGAGCAGTTGATTGTTGATCTCCCTCTTCGCCATGAGTATATGCAATTAGGCATGCCGTCAAACCACGTAAATCATATGTTATGTGTGTATGTGTGTGTTTGTTTGATTGTTTTTGCTTGATTCTTTATTTATTTCCTGCAATCATGCATTTGTCCATGACAAACAACATAACTGAGAACAATGACACTGGCATCCAAATTCCGTTCAACCAAAATAGTGCTTTATAGATGATGCATTTGTGCACCACACACAACATAACTGAGCACAATGACACTGGCATCCAAATTCCATTTCACCAAAATAGTCCTTTATAAAGAATATGAGTTACTACATGTTGTGGTATACGTTCTAAGCATATGAATCAGATCAGACCACCTCAAACTCAAACAGTGAGATAACTCGAGCCAGGGGCGGAGCCAATGCATGCGTAGCCCCTTCCCTTCCCTTCCCTTCCCTTCCCTTTATATATGTATTATTTTGTTATCATTTTTTTACCATATGTGAAGAAATTTTATAGTATCCCCTCCTCCAAAAAAAAAAAAAATCTTCATTTACTAAAATTATATCTTATTTCCTCTTTTTTTTTTTTTTCCCCTTCTTTTATTCTTTAAATTCCTATAATTTCATTTTTTTTTTAAAAAAAAAAAAAAGTTACATTCCTATTCAATTAAAATCCTAATTTTTTTCTCTTCAAAGTTCTCCCTCTTTTTTTTTCACTTTTTAAAAATTTTCTTTTTGCACTTGTATATGACGGATGTAACCCTTCTTTTCTTTTCTTTTTATTATTTTTTTTTTTTGGTCTTCTTATTTACCTTCATTGTTGTAATTTTATTAACTCAGTAATTTCAAAATAAAACTAAATTAATCTTGTCATTTGAATTTTTATTTTTATTTTTTTTATTCAAGTACATTACGCCCCCGAAATTAAATCCAACTCGAGCAACCTATAATATACTTAGTTTAGCAAACAACTTGCAGGTTACACATTCAAGAGTCCAAGAAAATGTTATTATAAAATAGATCAATGAACTAGGCAAATTATATATGAATTATAGCGAATTGAGTAACTTACCTCTGTGACTAATTGATTTGATCTGAAAAGGTTCCACATGGAAATGATTTCACCGATTTGGTTAAAGCAAAAGTATAGAAACCAAAAGATGACTATATGATTGAATTTGAGTAACAAATCTATAAGATCTATACAAATATGTGTGCATATAGATATAGAGCGACAGAGGTTTGTTGAATAGATAAAAACGGAGAGAGAAAGATAAGCAGCAGTCCGACCACGCCTCTTGAGGGGTGACTGAGTCCGTCTTCTTGTTAATAACGAGGGGTTACAGACCTATAGGTTACGGTTAGCCTCTTCCGTTGACGAAGACGAAGAGAGATAGAAAGGATTCAATTCAAGTGGACGGCATGAGCAAGACGAAGAAGGTTCCGGGAAGCTGTGCATCTTACTTTTTTATGGAAGTTACACGAGAAGTATTCGAGTGCGGAAGCGGCATGGCATTTGCCCGTCTAAATTATACTAGTAGTAAATATTTAAATTATGAAAAATGATATTTTTAACCACTTATTTAGCCCAAAAAAACCGATTGAACAGGTGGCTATCTTAAAATAGGACAACTCTTTCTCTTCTGTACAAAGATATGCACTATCCCGACCCTTCTTTCTCACTCCTCGGCAAAATCCTCTCCTATCTATCTTATTATTCTCACTTCTTTTGTTTATACTTCTGATTTTGATTTTGTCCCCGATCTCGTCTTTGTATTACCTGTTGAGAAAGTATTTTTTTTTTTAATATTTTTTGGTTCCAAATGCAGTCCCTGAAGGAATTATTATTAGCCTTAACCAAATTCAGAGATCTTACTCCCACACACTCTCTCTCCATAGCAAATCTGCAAAATCTTCAAACCTTCAACCTTCAGACTTCTCTGTTACCCAAAACGTTGATGGCCAGTCGGAAAATTGTTGTTATTGCAGTATCACGGCTTTCCGGTGTATCAATCCTTGGGATGTTGAAATCGAGTAAGGGATTGATGACAGCTTTGGCGATGAACCCACGATTTCGATAGAAAGGATGTGACTTTGACCTAGTTTCGCCGGGAATGGGAGAGAGATGCAATTGCTTTGGTGGAAAATCATACGCATCGTGATTCTGGTGGAGCATTAAAAAAAAAAAAAAAAAAATCACATTTTATATGATGTAGAACCTGTGGTTCCTCCTCCAAGTGCAACTCCAGCAACCCTCAAAATGACACTCTCGAGAATAATGTCTTGTTTACGAATAGACTGATGAAGCTTTCCTCTCTTGGTGTCATTATAATTAGTACTTACCAGCACGATATCCTCCATCCGAACCATAGTGACATTACAGTGATTTTTACCTACCACAACCTCCACGAATCCCCAAAATATTAACAACCACCATTCTTACAGCGTTGTAAAAACGAATTCCTACTTAGCATAGAGCATATCAAGCTAATCATTGTAGATTATTTAACTTGTATTGGTAGTTAACTATCCCTTCCCAAGTAGCATACCATATTGAGGCACATCCAGGTCCAATAGATTAGTTAGGAGTTTGTATTTCTACCCAATCCTATGATTATATATTCACAAATCCTAGCGTACATAGCGCTATTACCTATGTCATCAAAATAATAGTTGGCTGATAACATACTTGTGTCCCCAACCAATCCATACTCCCAATCCGGACTAATTAATAAAAATGAAATACGTAATCACAAAATGAAACACATAATAACAAAATGAAACACATAATAACACAAATGAAACACGTAAATACACAAATCATAATTCAAACTATAACTCTACTTAGGACATCCTCCATTCCAGAGAAGAAAACCTCCTTTAAACTCAAGTTCACAAAAGTTCGTTCCATAGTTTTGTTGGTAATCGTCTAACCTTGAAACCTATCCGCTAAACATAGCTTAATTGCACAATCGTTTGCCTAAGCAAATACCCAAAGGCTTAACCCTTATCCTCCTTATACGCGGAAAGCAAACCGTCTATCGTAGCTTTACAAAGCAACTTAGAACATCACAACCTAATCCCCATACGCTCCGGAATGTGATATAAAATCACGTATTCGTTTTGATAAGAACTTCACCATATTCCGACCCTCCGGAAGAGTACTTCTCAAATATGACTATATGGTTAAAGCAAAAGTATAGAAACCAAAAGATGACTATATGATTGAATTTGAGTAACAAATCTACAAGATCTATACAAATATGTGTGCATATAGATATAGAGCGACAGAGGTTTGTTGAATAGATAAAAACGGAGAGAGAAAGATATTTGGTTTGTTGAATAGATAAAAACAGAGGTTCCACATGGAAATGATTTCACCGATTTGGTTAAAGCAAAAGTATAGAAACCAAAAGATGACTATATGATTGAATTTGAGTAACAAATCTACAAGATCTATACAAATATGTGTGCATATAGATATTTGAGTAACAAATCTACAAGATCTATACAAATATGTGTGCATATAGATATTTGGTTTGTTGAATAGATAAAAACAGAGGTTCCACATGGAAATGATTTCACCGATTTGGTTAAAGCAAAAGTATAGAAACCAAAAGATGACTATATGATTGAATTTGAGTAACAAATCTACAAGATCTATACAAATATGTGTGCATATAGATATAGAGCGACAGAGGTTTGTTGAATAGATAAAAACGGAGAGAGAAAGATAAGCAGCAGTATAGAAACCAAAAGCAAAAGTATAGAAACCAAAAGATGACTATATGATTGAATTTGAGTAACAAATCTACAAGATCTATACAAATATGTGTGCATATAGATATTTGGTTTGTTGAAGAGATAAAAACAGAGGTTCCACATGGAAATGATTTCACCGATTTTGGTTAAAGCAAAAGTATAGAAACCAAAAGATGACTATATGATTGAATTTGAGTAACAAATCTACAAGATCTATACAAATATGTGTGCATATAGATATTTGGTTTGTTGAATAGATAAAAACAGAGGTTCCACATGGAAATGATTTCACCGATTTGGTTAAAGCAAAAGTATAGAAACCAAAAGATGACTATATGATTGAATTTGAGTAACAAATCTACAAGATCTATACAAATATGTGTGCATATAGATATAGAGCGACAGAGGTTTGTTGAATAGATAAAAACGGAGAGAGAAAGATAAGCAGCAGTCCGACCACGCCTCTTGAGGGGTGACTGAGTCCGTCTTCTTGTTAATAACGAGGGGTTACAGACCTATAGGTTACGGTTAGCCTCTTCCGTTGACGAAGACGAAGACGAAGACGAAGAGAGATAGAAAGGATTCAATTCAAGTGGACGGCATGAGCAAGACGAAGAAGGTTCCGGGAAGCTGTGCATCTTACTTTTTTATGGAAGTTACACGAGAAGTATTCGAGTGTGGAAGCGGCATGGCATTTGCCCGTCTAAATTATACTAGTAGTAAATATTTAAATTATGAAAAATGATATTTTGAACGACTTATTTAGCCGAAAAAAACAGATTGAACAGGTGGCTATCTTAAAATAGGACGACTCTTTCTCTTCTGTACAAAGATATGCACTATCCCGACCCTTCTTTCTCACTCCTGGCAAAATCCTCTCCTATCTATCTTATTATTCTCACTTCTTTTGTTTATACTTCTGATTTTGATTTTGTCCCCGATCTCGTCTTTGTATTACCTGTTGAGAAAGTATTTTTTTTTTTAATATTTTTTGGTTCCAAATGCAGTCCCTGAAGGAATTATTATTAGCCTTAACCAAATTCAGAGATCTTACTCCCACACACTCTCTCTCCATAGCAAATCTGCAAAATCTTCAAACCTTCAACCTTCAGACTTCTCTATTACCCAAAACGTTGATGGCCGGTCGGAAAATTGTTGTTATTGCAGTATCACGGCTTTCCGGTGTATCAATCTTTGGGATGTTGGAATCGAGTAAGGGATTGATGACAACTTTGGCGATGAACCCACGATTTCGATAGAAAGGATGTGACTTTGACCTAGTTTCGCCGGGAATGGGAGAGAGATGCAATTGCTTTGGTGGAAAATCATACGCATCGTGATTCTGGTGGAGCATTAAAAAAAAAAAAAAAAATCACACTTTATACGATGTAGAACCTGTGGTTCCTCCTCCAAGTGCAACTCCAGTAACCCCTCAAAATGACACTCTTGAGAATAATGTCTTGTTTACGAATAGACTGATGAAGCTTTCCTCTCTTGGTGTCATTATAATTAGTACTTACCAGCACGATATCCTCCATCCGAACCATAGTGGCATTAAATATTAACAACCACCATTCTTACAGCGTTGTAAAAACGAATTCCTACTTAGCATAGAGCATATCAAGCTAATCATTGTAGATTATTTAACTTGTATTGGTAGTTAACTATCCCTTCCCAAGTAGCATACCATATTGAGGCACATCCAGGTCCAATAGATTAGTTAGGAGTTTGTATTTCTACCCAATCCTATGATTATATATTCACAAATCCTAGCGTACATAGCGCTATTACCTATGTCATCAAAATAGTAGTTGGCTGATCACATACTTGTGTCCCCAACCAATCCATACTCCCAATCCGGACTAATTAATAAAAATGAAATACGTAATCACAAAATGAAACACATAATAACAAAATGAAACACATAATAACACAAATGAAACACGTAAATACACAAATCATAATTCAAACTATAACTCTACTTAGGACATCCTCCATTCCAGAGAAGAAAACCTCCTTTAAACTCAAGTTCACAAAAGTTCGTTCCATAGTTTTGTTGGTAATCGTCTAACCTTGAAACCTATCCGCTAAACATAGCTTAATTGCACAATCGTTTGCCTAAGCAAATACCCAAAGGCTTAACCCTTATCCTCCTTATACGCGGAAAGCAAACCGTCTATCGTAGCTTTACAAAGCAACTTAGAACATCACAACCTAATCCCCATACGCTCCGGAATGTGATATAAAATCACGTATTCGTTTTGATAAGAACTTCACCATATTCCGACCCTCCGGAAGAGTACTTCTCAAATACCTCCCGGAAAGATAATACTAAACTTTAACTATATGTAGATTGGTTCACACCAACTCTACCAATATCATTCGCTACACCACTAGTGAATGAAATCACCCTCGCGCTATCCTTCATCTTCAAGATTCAGTATCCTCTTTCTTGGATACGCTGAAATCTCTTCCCTTCGGATCCTCTTCAGACTTCTAGTCTTCGCTTGTCTCCTTTTCGAGAACAACTGAAGTTGTGTTGGTCCCGATATACGATAACCTAACACCTACTCCTTAATTCTTTCTTGGCTTATACTTTCTAAGTAATGCTAATCCCATAACTAAACCTTCGATCCCAAGTTCTGTTTATGGCAAAGAACCCGACTACGTACTCCTTCACTCCTTAGGGTCTTTATTGCTTTCGCCTTGGACCCCATCCTCCTCCTAGTGTCAACCATT